TTTGCACGTGGTGGCGATTCTGGCTTTTTCCCTGATCTGCCAACACCATGAGCGGCGTCCAGTGACTCCTCAATTGCGTTATGAAGCATCATACTCCTTGGCATAAAAACATACGAGTACCAAGAAGTTGCCTGGCATGGCAGTCTGAACAAGCCGTGTCCACGCTTAAACTATAAACCCTGGAGCGTAAACGCACAACCCTGGCACATCCTAGAGCTCTAAACCCTAGAACCTTGGACCCTAACACCCTCCTTACTATAGAGACCTCAAGAACACGACACGAAAAAGTTGTAGAACCTTTAAGAACCTTTAAAAAGCTGCATCACAAATAGGAAGCCCTTTAAACAAATCTACGAAACCCTCCGAAGCGCTGAACCCTAAACCCTAAACCCTAAACCCTAAACCCTGAACCCTAAACCCTAAACCCTAAACCCTAAACCCTGAACCTAAACCATGTAGCCACTCCCGCACGTGCCTCGAAGAGGCCAAGCGCTCCACGCAGAAGAGGCTCGGCCTGTCCAGGGCGGTGCTGGTCTCAGAAGGAGCCAGGGTTTAGGATTTAGGGTTTGGGGATGTTTCAGGATTTAGGGTTTGGGGTTTAGGGTTTAGGGTTTGGGGTTTAGGGTTTAGGATTTAGGGTTTGGGGATGTTTAGAGCTTTGGGGTTGGGATTTAGGGTTTAGGGTTTAGGGTTTAGGATTTAGGGTTTGGGGATGTTTAGAGCTTAGGGTTTAGGGTCTAGGGCGTTCCGAACCTTGTTAAAAATGCTTGGATGGGTTGTGTAGGGTTTCAAACGGATATTGATGTGTTTCACGAGGTTTCTAAGAGCGCTCAATTCACTCCTTCCTTTGGGAGATAGCCAAACTGGTAATAAAACGCCTCATTCCAAACCCGAAGGGCTTAAAGCCTAAACCCTGAAACCCTAAACCCTTAACCCCATAACCCTATAACCCCTAAACCATAAACCCAAATCTGAAGTCTATTTCCTTCCCATTTCCTTCATTCCAGAGCATTGGACGCCCTGGCTGGGGAACTTCACAAGCCAGGCTTAGAGAGATTCTTTTGATATAGTTAACAATAAATTTCTAAGAACCCATAATAACCAATAAGAATATTAAAAAAAACAATAAGTGACGTTTCTAAGATTAATAACAATCATAATGAAAACTACCTAGTAATAGTTAACGAAATCAAAAAAAACAACCAAAAATCAACAATCATTCAAAATAACTAGTAATAGTCAGTGATAGCAAACGACAATCAAAAGAGCTTAGGCTTTAGAGCCATGCATCTGGCACCTAATGTCCTGGAGCCTGGTTTTACGGTTGACCGGGGGTTTAGGGTTAAGGATTTAGGGTTTAAATAAGCTGCCTCAACGACAAGAATAAGATCTTGAGACGCATCACAGTAGTCAGTAGGTTTATACTAAGGAGCCCCAAAAACTATTACAGTAGGTTTATGTTGAGGAACAAAAATGTAGTTCTAACTGTCCCGGCTGCTATATTAGACCCGAAACCCCTAAACCCCAAACCCTAAACCCCTATAGAGTTTTGGGTTTGGGGTTCCGGATTTTCTACGGGGTGGGACAGCTCTTCAACCCCCAAAGCCCCCCCCAAAAAAAGCAAAGCGACCAACTTAGGGTTTAGGGTTTAGGATTTAGGGGTTTAGGGTTTAGGGTTTAGAGTTTAGGGCTTAGCATTTATGGGTTTAGGGGTTTAAGGTTTAGGGCTTAGGATTCAACGGTTTAGGGGTTTAGGGTTTGGGGGTTTAGGTCCAGAACCCTCAGCTCTGAACCCAAACCTCTACACCCACCCCCAAATGCCCCCAAAGCAGCAGCTTCCTGAACGCCAATCAAACTCTCAACCTTTGCGGCCTCACCAAACCGGCCCTGCATGTGCAGAATCTGCGCAAGCCTGGCAGGTACCGGAAGTCCAGTCCCGAAGGTGTGGGGTTCAGGGGGGACTTTGGCATAGGGGCTTGAGGTTTACGGTCTAGGGTAATTACAAGGGTTTTGTTTAAGTGTAGTGGCTCCTTTTCTGCAAAGCAGTCGGAACCTGCCTTATTGCAGGCTTACAAGGGTTTACTGCTTTGGGGTTCAGGGTAGGGGTTGAGGATACGCGTTGCACCCAGAAAGATGCGAAAGCCATACGACTAAACACCAAACCCAGAGTAGCCCAAAAGCAGTGAAGAGGAGCTTCGTGTCGCTACTTCAGATACCTACCCAGACCCCGAGAGGATAGAAAGAGTAGGTCCCCTAATTAGGGACCCTAACTACTAAAGGGTACTGTATAGGAGCCCCCTTAGGGGATCTAAACCCTAAACCCTAAAACCCTAAACCCTAAACCCTAAAACCCTAAACCCCAAAACCCTAAACCTCCCGGTGGTCCGGGTAGCACCATAGGAGTCTACCAAAACGGACGTTCAGCAAATCTGCGGAAGAGGCCCCCGATGTTCGAGAGACGCAGGCTTAGGGCTTAAGGGCTTAAGGGTCCATATTTTAGAGCTTAAGGATTTAAGATTTAGAGTTTAGGGTTTAGGGGCGTAGGGTTTGGGGTTTAGGGAAACCCTAAACCCTAAACTAAGATTCAGGAGTTCAGCTTTTGGGTTTGGGGTTGGTCGCTCCAAGTCCTTCGTACATTGGCTTCATACGTTCGCAGGGCTTAGGGTTTAGGGCTGAGGGCTTGGGGTTTCGGGTTATTCGGACATTGGCTTCATACATTCCCATATCATGCCAAGTTTCCGGTGTAGCAATGATAGCCAGGGAGAGCGGTGTGAAGGTTTAGGGTACCAGGTTTGTCGCTCGTTTAACGAAGCTTCAAACTAGGAACACCCAAGCCCAAGCGCGAAACCGTTGCAACACAATTGAGGTCAAAATCAAAGCCTATCTGAAAGCCATATGTTAAACCATTCAGGTTCGAATGCCCTGAAATGACACCTCAATGCAGCCCTGCGTCCAAATTAGACAGCCCAAACCGCTCAACTCTAAACCCCGCAACCCTCACCAAAACCGCGAATACCCGTCGAAACCCTTACCAGTAATAGTAATAATAAGAAGAATAATAACAATAATAGCAATAACAGAAAAAGTAAAAGCAACAATAATAAGAAGAATAAGCATAACAACAACAAAAACAGTAATAGTATTTAGTAAGAATTGCTTTCACCTGGAACCGAAACGCCCGGTTGTTCCCTTCAGGGGCTCTCCTGGCTTTGATGCCTGCCGGGCGCACATCCTTTACCTGCGCTGCAAGACCAAATGGGTTTTAGGGTTTAGGGGCTTGGGGTTTAGGGCTTAGGGATTAGGGTTTAGGGAAACCCTTACTGAGTTTAGGGTTCAGGGGTTTAGGGGTTTAGTGTTCAGGGCTT